TTGGGACTATCCCAGTATGCAATCCGGTCCTGATGGCTGATATTCCTTCGCCCTTATAACCGTGATTGCTGGTAGTAACCAATAACTTTCCACTAGATCTGCATCAATATTAGAAAGCTCCTCTCCTCCACAGGCAGTATTTCATATTTTCAGCATAAATTAAAACAAAACCAGACATCCCAAACTGTATAGAACTTTAATATGGGGTCAAACAATAGAAATGCCACTCACAAAAAAAGTGCCTTTGCTGGCACTAGGTATTCATACTAAAAAAAAAAAAACAGGAAGTAAAAACTCATCTCAACTGCATGTCTTTAGTGCCCCTCAATCATAAATGTAAACGTGGCCTTATTAGTGGTCACACTTGCAAAATGAGGTAAACCATAGCAACCACTCAGTAGGCTGCACTATGTACGTTACATATTTCTGACCCCTGAACTATGTACTTTACCCACTCCTGACCCCTGCCCTCTGTACGTTATGTACTGCTGATCCCTGCACTCTGTACATTACATAGTCTTGATCCCTGCACTCTGTACATTACATAGCCTTGACCCCTGCACTATGTATATCACATAGACTTGACCCCTGCTCTCTATGTGTTACCCACTCCTGATCCCTGCACTCTGTACATTACATAGCCATGACCACTGCACTCTGTACATTACATAACCTTGATCCCCGCACTCTGTGCATTACATAACCTTGATCCCCGCACTCTGTGCATTACATAACCTTGATCCCCGCACTCTGTGCATTACATAACCTTAGGATTACCCACACCTGACCTCTGAACTATGTACATTACATAACCTTGATCTCTGCACTCTGTGCATTACATAACCTTCATCCATGCACTCTATACATTACATAACCTTGATCCCTGCACTCTGTACATTACATAACCTTGATCCCTGCACTCTGTACATTACATAACCTTGATCCCCGCACTCTGTGCATTACATAACCTTGATCCCCGCACTCTGTGCATTACATAACCTTGATCCCCGCACTCTGTGCATTACATAACCTTGATCCCCGCACTCTGTGCATTACATAACCTTGATCCCCGCACTCTGTGCATTACATAACCTTGATCCCTGCACTCTGTGCATTACATAACCTTGATCCATGCACTCTGTATGATACCCACACCTGACCTCTGAACTATGTACATTACATAACCTTGATCCCTGCACTCTGTACATTACATAACCTTGATCCCTGCACTCTGTACATTACATAACCTTGATCCCTGCACTCTGTACATTATATAACCTTGATCCCCGCACCCTGTGCATTACATAACCTTGATCCCCGCACTCTGTGCATTACATAACCTTGATCCCTGCACTCTGTGCATTACATAACCTTGATCCCCGCACTCTGTGCATTACATAACCTTGATCCCCGCACTCTGTGCATTACATAACCTTGATCCCCGCACTCTGTGCATTACATAACCTTGATCCCCGCACTCTGGGCATTACATAACCTTGATCCATGCACTCTGTGCATTACATAACCTTGATCCATGCACTCTGTATGATACCCACACCTGACCTCTCAACTATGTACATCACATAACCTTGATCCCTGCACTCTGTACATTACATAACCTTGATCCATGCACTCTGTACATTACATAACCTTGATCCATGCATTCTGTGCATTACATAACCTTGATCCATGCATTCTGTGCATTACATAACCTTGATCCATGCATTATGTGCATTACATAACCTTGATCCATGCATTCTGTGCATTACATAACATTGATCCATGCACTATGTGCATTACATAACCTTAATCCCTGCACTCTGTACATTACATAACCTTGATTCCTGTACTCTGTAGGATACTCACACCTGACCTCTGAACTATGTACATTACATAACCTTGATCTCTGTGCATTATATAACCTTGCTCCCTGCACTCTGTGCATTACATACCCTTCATCCATGCACTCTATACATTACATAACCTTGATCCCTGCACTCTGTACATTATATAACCTTGATTCCTGCACTCTGTACATTACATAACCTTGATCCCTGCACTCTGTACATAACATAACCTTGATCCATGCACTCTGTACATTACATAACCTTGATCCCTGCACTCTGTGCATTACATAACCTTGATCCCTGCACTCTGTTCATTACATAACCTTGATCCCTGCACTCTGTATGATACCCACGCCTGACCTCTGAACTATGTACATTACATAACCTTGATCTCTGCACTCTGTACATTACATAACCTTGATCCCTGCACTCTGTACATTACATAACCTTGATCCCTGCACTCTGTGCATTACATAACCTTGATCCATGCACTCTGTACATTGCATAACCTTGATCCATGCATTCTGTGCATTACATAACCTTGATCCATGCACTCTGTCTATTACATAACCTTGATCCATGCTTTCTGTGCATTACATAACCTTGATCCATGCATTCTGTGCATTACATAACCTTGATCCATGATGTCCAGCTGATGTCCAGAGAGGTTGAATGAAGATGGTGGATACAATATACTTATTGAAAAAGCTTAAACAATTTTATTTTATTTTATGATTAAGTTCAATTATTTTTAGATGCATTGCTAACCCTTGAAGAAGCGACTCCAGTAATGACACATGTTGGGCGTTTTCTACACAGCTTGGACATTCCCCACCCTCTGAAAGAAGTATATTGTATTCACCATCTTCACTCAACCTCTCTGGACATCAAACTGATGGTTGCAAGATATGTTTTCAGATGTGATATGTTAATAAAGTAACATTTGTTTTTTACTCCTTGTGTACTGAGTTTATGTGCCTAAAAAGTCCATCAGATATTTTTGCCTCTAATATTCTTCAATTGGGATGTGTCACTATGTTATTCTCTGGGCTGTGACCTCCTACCACCCAATGGTCGCCCCATCCCTTCATTTTCCAAATATATGTTTTGTGGTATCTACTATTCCTTTTAAATGGAAAGCTAACACACTAAGGCAACACACCTTAGCGAGTAGTACTTTGCAGTGTGTTAAAAAAAAAAAAGGCATGTCCAATTTCCAGCACATAGGAGTGCGATGGCAGGGCATTCACTTAAATGGGCTACCTTACTGCAAGACACATCAATGCAGGAAATAACACGTGTTGACAAAGCTGCATTATCGCCCTACAAAAAAGGTTTACTTAAAATGTATTTTCTAAATGAAACGCCGGCTTGTTGAGCAATAAAATACCCTCCATATGGATAGTGGAAGGATTTTACAAACTTTAGTGGAAATTCTTTTGTGTTGAAGAAATCGACACTTATCCCTAAAGTGTTACTATTCCACAACAGTAAAATCAGGCTATATATGTAGTAAAGCATGCTTGTTATACTCACTATGGAACCTAAGGGGTTAATCCTCCACATTATGTAAAAAGGATGTTTGATCCTGTCTTCTCTGATCCCCCCCTTCTTCCACAGTTCCCCTCTTATCTCCTAATAGAACATTGGGAAAGTGCATGTGATCAGCACAAGGCCAATCAGCACTGTCCAGACAGAGGTCAGGGGTTCTGCAGTCTCATAGGGGAGAATAAAAACTCCTCTCACAAGCTTTAACCAATGCTCTGCTGAACACTGGTAGAAGTCACAAGGCTGCTCTAACTGCTGATGAAAAAAGGTAATTAACAGTTTATATTTACTACAATAATTGCATTTCCATGTTCTGTGTACTGTGGGAGACCAGATATAGTGAATGCAGGGTCCTGGGTATAGCAACACTTTAAACTGAATACTAATTTGTGGTGGTGGTAAGGGGGAAGGTGTCTGCCTTTATTATAATTAGAAGAACACTAGTAATGTTAACCTGTCCTGCACCCATACCTTGGGTCTTCATTCTCTTGCAGAGCCATTGCAGCTGGCAGAATCTTTAGCATTTTACATTCATGAGTGTGTTGGATGCTGGTGTCTCCTGCCACATGCTGTGGATCTACCCACTGATGAAATAGAAGCCAGCAGGTGGAACCACAACATATGGTGGGGGATGAGCTGTAGCCACAGCTCTGCAATGAGACCTGCAGGGGGACCGGGAATCACTGATTAGTGCAATTAGCCCTTTCTTGGCAGGGACAGCTTTCTGTGGGCTAAAGTAAGTGTACCATTCAATATGTGCCATAGTGCCACATAGGTTGGTGACCACGGTTAAAGCTGGATGTTCGTAAAGGACATGGATTACTGGAATACCTTCACATCTTCCAGCATCCACATGCATTTGGATCATTGCATTTGGTCACATAGCATCTTATAGTTGCAAAGAAAGTCGGTGATGAAAGACTTCCCTCTACTAGATGCACATAGCTATATATACTGTAACCAAGCAGCTGTTACTGATCACTGTCTGAAGGGTGTTTAAAGTGTCATAGTTCGGAGACACCCGCCCAATATACACTATATTGTCAAAAGTATTAGGACACCCCTCCATATCATTGGATTCCGGTGTTCCAATCACCTCCATGCCTACAGGTGTATAAAATCAAGCACTAAGGCTACGTTCACACTAGCCTTATTTTCAAGCAGCAGAAAGGTGTTTGGGAAGAGGTAAAAACGCTTCCGAAACGCCTTGGACAATTCTGCCCATTGCAGCACATGGTGCTGTTCTAACCGGAGCGGTAGCGTCACGGTGCGTTGCAGTGTGGCTCTGGTTGAGTCAGGAGGCGTTGAAACCTCCTATTCTAGCCTATGGTGCCGCTCCGCAAACGCCCGGCCGGCGTTTGCGGTGCGGTTGCAACGCGGTTGCGGGGTGTTTGCGGAGCGGTAACACCATTCAAACTTCATTATAGGCATTTCTGGGGCGTTTTTAACACTCGGCAAATGCCTAGCAACCACCGCTGGACCACGCATGCGGCGTTTGCGGAGCATTTGCCGAGCATTAAAAAATGCTCTGCAAACGCCAGACCAACGCTTGCCAAACGCTATAGGGGCGTTTGGCAAGAGTTGGTAAGACAGTCAAGTGTGAACAAGCCCTTAGGCATGCAGACTGCTTCTATAAACATTTGGGAAAGAATGGATTGCTCTCAGGAGCTCAGTGAATTCAAGCGTGGTACAGTGATAGGTTGCCTCCTGTGCAATAAGTCCATCCATGAAATTTCCTTGCTACTCAATATTCCATGGTCAACTGTTAGTGGTATTATAACAAAGTGGAAGCAACTGGGAACAACGGCAACTCAGTCACAAAGTGGTAGACCAAGCATGCTGAAGCACACGGTGTGCAGAAGTCCTCAACTGTTTGCAGAGTCAATAACTAAAGACCTCCAAACTTCGTGTGGCCTTCAGATTAGCACAACAGTGCATAGAGAGCTTCATGGAATGGGTTTCCATGCTGAGCAGCTGCATCCAAGCCTTACATCACCAAGTGCAATGCAAAGTGTCATATGCAGTGGTGTAAAGCACACCACCACTGGACTCTAGAGCAGTAGAGACATGTTCTCTGGAGTGACCAATCACGCTTCTCTGTCTGGCAATCCAATGGACATGTCTGTGGTTGACAGTTGTCAGAAAAATGGTACTTGCCTGACTGCATTGTGCCAGGTGTAAAGTTTTGTGGAAGGGGGATTATGGTGTTGGGTTGTTTTTCAGGGGTTGGGCTTGGCCCCTTAGTTCCAATGAAGGGAACTCTTAAGGCATCAGCATACCAAGACATTTTGGACAATTTCATGCTCCCAACTTTGTGGGAACAGTTTGGGGATGATCCCTTCCTGTTCCAACATGACTGCGCACCAGTGCACAAAGCAAGGTCCATAAAGACATGGATGAGCGAGTTTGGGGTGGAGGAACTTGACTGGCCTGCAAAATCCTGACCTCAATCCGAAAGAACACCTTTGGGATGAATTAGAGCGGAGACTGCGAGCCAGGCCTTCTTGTCCGACATCAGGACCTGACCTCACAAATGCGCTTCTGGAAGAATGGTAAAACCTTCCCATAGACACTCCTAAACCTTGTGGACAGCCTTCCAAAAAGTGTTGAAACTGTTATAGCTGCAAAGGGTGGGCCAACTCAATATTGAACCCTACGGGCTAAGACTGGGATGCCATTAAAGTTCATGTGTGTGTAAAGGCAGGTGTCCCAAAACCTTTGGCAATATAGTGTATCTTAGACCTCATGAATACTGGATGTTTATCCACTGTGCATAAGACTCTGGCATTTAGGTTCCAAAAGAAGGCGCACTGTCCAACCACACTGCTAGCAGCCTGTCAAAGTATATGAGAGGCTGACAGATGCTGTAGCTGGATGGGACACTGAGCAGTATTAACATTAAGAACAGTGTGCACCCTGGAACAAATGCTTGCAACACAGACTGCTTGCATTCCAGGCAATCATCACTGGGTGTATACTGCTCGAAATGTTAGTATTGCCTGGTGCACCATTCAGTCCCATCCAGCCACAGCAGCTATCAGCCTCTCAGGCTGTTGGTAGTGAGGCTGGACTGTGGTCCTTTACCTTCTGCCTGCACCCGTACCTAAATACTGGAGTCTCAAGCACAAGGGGCCAAATCCCCAGTGTGCATGAGGCCTTAAAAATACTGGCCCCGGGGGGGAAAATGCCTCTCTGCCAACCAGCCCAGTCCTCCCCTGTAGACATGGGTGGTAGAGCAGGTAAATATTATCAGTGCTCATTTGCTGTTTGTTTGTTTGTTCTGTTCAGGTTTTAAAAAAAAAAAAAATTTGCAACAGTGTCCATTTAAAGCAGAATTTAACCCTCCAATACTCACAACCCCCCCAGAGATACAATGTCCACAAGCTCCCACGCAGGTGGCAACATCTTCTCACCTGCTTCTTCAAGTTTTGGGGCCTTTAACTGCCTTGAATGGCTGTGCTGGGATGGCATCATTCCCGTGCATGCTCACTGGGCTTCACTCCATCACCAAGGTGTGCCAAACATGTATACCGCACAGCATGCACAAGAAGATAGATAGATACTACATTCCATTTCCCTGATCCTACTTCTAAGAATTATGAACATATTACAAGCTGTTTCATTTTGTGCTCATCAGTCCCCTCTCTGTCTTGCTTGCAGCGTAAACCCCTTAGGCTAGAAAAAAAATCCAGATTAAGATTTAAATAGTTTAGTACATTCCTTACCGAATAACTACATTTAACCAAAAATGTTGTTTGCAGAGCAGGTGATAAGAAGTGTAAGCCTGCGGCAGGGTAGAAACTATGTGTGTATTACTAATTTCTATAAAACAGCTCCACTCCACTCCAGCTAACTGAATTGTGCCATGAGGCTCTAGCAGAGAAGGCCAGCATTCTAAGGTTTCTCTAAAAGTGGAGAAGCCTGGGCAGAGGTCATAAAATATTTATTTTATGTCATAAGGCTAATCTTCACCAAATGTAGTCAGACATCTTTGTTTTTGCTGCACATCACTAAGATTGAAAGCAGTGCCTGGCCCAGCATAGGTCTTGATCCTTGGATGAAGATGCCTGCTAAATACAGAATGAACACAATTGTCAGCACTCAAATGTTGAGTACAACAGATGGAGAACCAGGGCTAAAGAGCTTTACATCTATGATACTGGTCAATTCTTGAGGTGTGAAGGAATTTATCCTGGCCTTGCATTTCTCCTCTGACTGGGGAAATCTTCAATACTAGAGAAGCAAAGCAGAGGAAAGGTGCATTGGCCTAGCTAATATGTTTTGAGGGCCAAGCACTCTTCTTCAGAATTAAGAATGTGAAGGGGGTTTGCATCTGGAATTTGCTTGTGATTTAAACTCTGTAAGTTTTTTAATAATTTTGTAAAGAATCTAATGGTGTCAAAAGTAGGCCAGGGCACTCTTTTCTTTATTTCTCTAGTATTGAACGTTCCTGCTAATCTGAGGTCTGCAGGGAGGTGGGGAGTTATATTTCATGGGAAGGGTGAAAGGGCAGTTAGGCTCAAATTTTATGTAAGCATACAGTATATCAACTTTGTTGAAAGCTAATCATAAACATTTTGGCTTGAGCTGTACATTAATACAATAAAATCATAGAGGTATAAAATTATATAAAAGGAAATAGTCATAGAAAGAATGATCTCCTAGATTGTAAGCTCCAAGGAGCAGGGCCCTGCTATACCTCTTGTATTGAACTGTATTGTTGCTGTATTATCTCCAGTTATATTGTAAAGCGCTGAGCAAACTGTTGGTGCTATATAAATCCTGTATAATAATAATAATAATTTACGGTAGGGTGCACTTAAGGTGGGATGGCGAGTGCACTCTGCCTTAGGTACAGCCCCTGACAAGTGGGTGGGTTCTGCCTCTGTGTAAGGAGCATTGTTCAGGTATCACTGGAAAAAATGTGCTTTACATTACTGTTCAGTGGGAAAACTAGAACCCCTTACATTGGTAATAGAAAAGTGTGGAGCACTGGATCTTTTTGATAAAGTAAGAATCCTGATATGGGTTTCTTGTCTGATGGAATACTATTAACTAGATAGCTCACCAAAGAAAATAGGGGCCATAAACAAGAGTTATTTTTTCAAAGAGGTAAGACATTGAAAAGAAGCAGCCACATGGATTATCAAATGCCAACACACATTCTGGTGCCTCGAATGTTAGAAATGTTTCTGGGTATATTTGACCCATTAATTTAAAAAATGGCATCAATTTTTCTATTTTTGTAATTCCTATAGTGCTTTTGAGATACAACATAAATGCCATATACCACTCTTCATTCTGGTTTCCAATAAAAAAAAATCAGGATATTTTAATGTAATATTTTATTTAATCTCCTTGTAACATGAAAGAATCACATAAAAAAGCAGCCATAACCTCTACGGTGCTCGATCTGCAAAAGTGAAATGATATAAGTGGCAATATATACACACACCTCCTATATTATCATAAGCAGGGGTTTTGTTTTCAGCCGGAATGTGGCGGAATTGCGTTCCACCATTTCTGGCAAATCTGCACTCTCATTAAACACAGACGGCGGTAGAGGATATATTTGCTCACTTCCTCTACCGGCTTCTGTGTTCTAGTGCCGGGCACACAGTGCATGTACGGGCAGAGCAGGACATTCGTAGGTGGGTGCCCTGGATCCCAATACCACAGTATTTTTGTAATTCCTGTAATGCTTGGGAGACTGCTGCTGTCCCTGCCCTCGCCTGTCAGACATGTTTCACAGAGCCGAGTCAAGTACTCTGAAACTCCTCCTCGGTTCTGTGCTACAGTTCAAAACTGCACTGTGTTAAAAAAAAAAGCCAGCACACACCAAGAGCGGTGCCATCTGCAGCACTGAAGCTTTTGCAAAGAGGTGAGACAGCTGGGAAGGGGTGGATTTGTAGTGTGTGATGGGCAGCGGTAACAGCTGGGGAGTGGGAGGATTTGTGAATAGGTGATGGCTATGAGATGGGGGGGTTTGAGAATAGGTCATGGCTGTGAGAAGGGGGGGGGGGGGAATTTGTGAATAGGTGATGGCTGTGAGAAGGGCGGGGGAATTTGTGAATAGGTGATGCCTATGAAGGGGTAGGTCTGAAGTTGTAGATTGAGGTAAGCGGTAAGCTATAGATGGGGGTGCACAAGTGAAATCTGGAAGGGGGCAGACCTAAGCTGCAGTTGGGGTGCAGAGTTTAGTTGTCAACTGAGGGTGTAAATTGTGGACTGCTGAGGTATACTGTGCACAGGGAGAGAGTGGATTGGGGGGACAGAAGAGGGAGCTGTGGACTGGGGGAGTGAACAGGGGAGCTATGGACTGGGGAGAGAAGAGGGAGCTATAGACTGGGGAGAGAAGAGGGCAGCTATGGACTGGGGAGAGAAGAGGGCAGCTATGGACTGGGGAGAGAAGAGGGCAGCTATGGACTGGGGAGAGAAGAGGGCAGCTGTGGACTGGGAGAGAGAAGAGGGCAGCTCTGGACTGGGAGAGAGAAGAGGGCAGCTGTGGATTGGGGGTGAGAAAAGAGGAACTTTGGACTGGGGGAGAGAAGAGGGGAGCTGTGGACTGGGAAAGAGAAGAGGGCAGCTGTGGACTGGGAAAGAGAAGAGGGCAGCTGTGGACTGGAAAAGAGAAGAGGGCAGCTGTGGACTGGAAAAGAGAAGAGGGCAGCTGTGGACTGGGAGAGAGAAGAGAGCTGCTATGAACTGGGAGAGAGAAGAGGTAAGCTGTGGACTGTGAAAAAGAAGGGAGCTGTAGACTGGGGGAGAGAAGAATGGAGCTGTAGACTGGGAAAGAGAAGAGGGGAGCTGTGGACTGGGAGAGAGAAGAGGGGAGCTGTGGACTGGGAGAGAGAAGAGGGGAGCTGTAAACTGGGGGAGAGAAGAGGGGAGCTATAAACTGTGGGAGAGATGAAGAGAGCTGTGGACTGGAAGAGAGAAGAGAGGAGCTGGGAGTTGTGGACTGGAAGAGAGAAGAGGGGCGTTGTGGACTGGGAGAGAGAAGAGGGGAGCTGTGAACTGGGAGAGAGAAGAGGGCAGCTGTGAACTGGGTGAGTGAAGGGAGCTGTGGACTGAAGGAGAAAAGAGGAGCTTTGGACTGGGGGAGAGAGCTGTGAACTGGGAGAGAGAAGAGGGAAGCTGTGGACTGGGGGAGAGAAGGGGGGAGCTGTGTACTGGGAGAGACAAG